TCTAGTTTCCCTTTTTTTTTTTTCATCAATTCTTTTTGCAAAATTATTTTTTGTATTTATACATACATATATTAGTAATAAAAAAGAAACAACTTTCTAGGTTCTTCCCCTTTTTTGTTTTTTGTTTTTTCTTCTTTCTTTTTGTCAGCAATTCTTTTTGCAAAATTATTTTTTGTGTGTATACATACATATATTAGTAATAAAAGGAGAAAAACCAATGTAGTAATTAATATTTGAGTTGAAAAGTAAAAATAGCATCAATGGTCATTATGACGAATTCTTCTTTCTTTGGGCTACTAATACGACAATCCCTGTATCTTGGTGAGCCATACAAAACGAGATTCCCATGGCCCTTGAAAAAGGAAATGAAATGGGAAATAGAGAGAACAGTTAGTAATGGACCCAGTCTAGCCCAAATGATTCGTGGCTCCCAAGATTATTATTTTTATTTTTTTGTTCTTGAAGATTATTAGATTTAAAGAAATGATTTTGGGAGAATATTTTTGTATTATTATTTTTATATAATTTAATATATTATTTAAAAAATTAATTTTTTTAATTTATATGAAACTCGTAATACTAAATGTATTTATTTATTTAATAATATATAAAAATTATATCAAAAAATAATATCAAAAAATTATTCAAATATCAAAAAATTATTCATATATCATGGCACCTTAACTTTATTAGTTTCACATAAAAAAAAGTGGAATACAGTTCACAGGCCCTTTAATTATTATTGATGAGGGGTGTAGACGCTTTTATATTAAAGGTTAATCTTTTTTAAAATTAATGCAGTTTGTATAAGATTGCACTACAACATTCTCCCATTCTACATATCATCTTCCTTTTTTCTTTTTTTCTTTTGAAATAGTAAAATTTTTACTTTGAAAAACAGATGATTGGTCATCTACACATGCAATAAAAGCCTTATCTCAAGATTAAGCATAACTAAAGATAAGAAAATAAAAATAGATAAATTTCAACAACCTTTTTAATGCTAAAGAAAAGTTGTGAATGTGTCACACTACAATCTTGGGATGAGTTATTAGTATTCACATATTCTCTTAATCAAACATTTCAGTGTAAACATCTTTCCATATACTCTAAAGACTAGCACAACATCCACTCCTGTTGAGGCAAGATATATAACACATTCATACTAACTTAAGTAGTTGCTTCAGATTTTAAGGGGTTAAAAAATTACAAAAGTTTTTTCCTCTTCCTTTTTCCCATGACAGACCAATCAAAATCCAACAAAGTGAGTGAAGTAAGACAACAGTAAAGAGCAAATAAAAGAGATTTGAATAAGTAAAAACAAACTAAAGATGTAAGAAGTGGAAGGGAAGCAAATATAGAAGACAAGAAAAGAGGGGAAAAAAGTGTCCGTGTAAGAAAAGCAAAGAGAACGGTAGACGAAGAAGTTGATGAAGAAACCACGAAGAAAGGAGTCGGAAGTTGTATGGAGAGTGTGAAAGCAAGAAAGAAAATGAAGATGAAAGGAAAAAACGTAGACAAAAGGGAAGGATCTAAGAAAATACCAAAATGTCAAAGGTTAGTAGAAGACTAGAAGAATAAAGCAAGCAATGAGTGGAGAGGAAAAAAAAGAACCCATAGACTTCACTAAGGACTAATGAATGGTATTACATGCATCCACTTGGAAATAGGATATAGGATATAGAGTAGTTAAAGCTTTCTTAAATACTATTACTATTACTTCTTTTATGAAAATCCTATTGTTACTTCTTGTATGGAAACTCTAATAACTATTTAAGCCAAAATTTATATTTTTAAAGTTCTTTAATCTCACAAGTTTCCTTATAAAGTTGTTTGTAACTTGTTTGGTTTAAGGAAAATGATGGAAGGAGATTTTTTCCTCCAATCAAATTAAAATTTTAATATAATATCTTCATTTGATTAGATAAAATTTTTTTTCCCATCTATTATATTCTCTCAAACCAAATACACTATTAATATTTATTAAAGTCAATATTTAATTGTATTAATTATTTTCTTAAAAAATACTACTACTATTAATTTAACCTCTATTTAGTATGATTATAGTTTTTTATTTTTAGTTTTGGTTCTCATAAATTTGCAATTGAAAACCAAAAACTTCTCTAGTTTCATGTGTCTTTTCAACATATTATATGATTATTAGAGAAATAAAAACAAAAACAATTTTAATGCTAATTAAACAAGTATATAGTTTTAAACAAACTATTAATTTTTAATTTTTTTAGTTTTGATTTTCAACAATTGAAAATTTTATAAAAAAAATTAAGACTAAAAAACCACAATTATACTAAATACAGCCTTGGTAATTAGCAAATAAGGAATGCATAAAATCTTAACGGAGATTCATAAAAAATTTAAGATAAACTCAGATCAAGGCTAAAATTAAGTTTTGATTTCAAAATCAGATTAGTAATAAAGAATTTTAAATTTTGATTCCTCAAAAAATAAATACAACCACACAACTCCAAGGATCTGTTTTCAGACAATTCCAACATGGATTGAAATGGATTATCTTCTCTTACAAGCAAAGTGCAAAATTGGGCATTGCTGTTGCAGTGTTCCTGACAAATCATCCGTGGGAAATTTTGCCCTATTATGACTGAGTATAAACACTGGATGGAGTTCCACATACTAATCTCCTCTGCTAACTCTAGAGCCAGGGCACAAAAACCCATGCGGAATTTTCTTAAACAACATGCTTAATAAATCGTGGGGCCTGATAGTAGGATCATAAGAAAACACTGATCTTTCAATTTTCTTTCTTTGGTCACTAAATCCTATTGAAGGACTATAGTTTTGTATGTGTGAGCAGAAACAAACCAGGAAAGTGAAAATCCAGTGTAGTACTTGATCAGTTGAAAAGCATTGAAAGGAGGAGCAGAATTATTCATCAATAAGCTTCAAACTTCGAGAGGGCATATCTCATCTTTTTGGTTTCCTGAGCATTAAATTGATGCATCATGAAAAAAAGAAACATTGTAAATCAATGGTGTAAATGCATCTTTCAGCAGACGAATCACTACTAAGAGCAAAGTCTCATGGAGGCTTATATAACAAACTGCAGGTAATTCGAACCTTTGGTAAAGTGCACCAAAATGAAATCTAATTCATAACACGCATCAGATACTAAATGTTGGGATATAGAAAAACAAAACTAAAGAGTTGGACTAGTTACAACCTGAATCCCTTTGCTATAGTAGAAAAATCATTCAATTTTAATGCTTGCTGTATCAGATTTGCAGTTGACCTCATATAAGTCATTGTCCAATGCCTTAACGAAATTCTGGAAATAATTTCCGGTGACTGCAGTGAGTTTAACAAGCTGCCTGCGATACCCATTGTAATCCTCTGAATTGGTGAGGATGAAGCGGCATACTCCCCTCTCAGTACTAGAATGCAGCTTCTCAAGAGTATCTATTGCCTGCCCCAGTAAGATGTCGAACAGCTGAATCTTTTTTTCCTCATTCTCTGGTATAAAATACTTGTACACATATGTCCACCTCAAAATTTGTCTGCATTTTACTATTTGTTTCCAGGCTTCCACTAAGAAATTGAGATCAACTTTAGCAAGATTTTTACCGATATGCTCTCTTTTGGCAGTCTCTAGGTCAAAAAGAGCACTGGTCTTTAAAATATCATTATCCTCCCATCCATTATAACATTGGAAATACTTGCTTGCTGATTCCCGTTGCTTCTGTATTTGTTTACTTAGCCCATTATGTGGATTGCAGGTATGGTCAAAACTCATTCCAATGTCCCATGCTTCAAGGCACTCCCAGCAGAACACAAAATAGCAGGGTGCAATGCAGATCACGCGGCTTTCATCACCAGGGTTCTCAATCGGCCTTTTGCAATTTGGACATGGCTTGGTGCTCATTACTATCATGTTCCTGGTACTGATTTCTGGGTCAAAAATTGTGCACATCCACATTGCAACAGTGTCACATGTCACCGGATGGTGATATTCATTGAGGCAGTTCCAGCAAAAGCTATGAGAACAGAGGCAAGTAACGTCGGGAGTGGAAGCAGAGGCAGATAATTCAATAGCATATTTGCAGCCTTCTCTGGGGCACCATTTGATGCCCTTATTATGCTCGACAAAAGACCTCAATAGCATCCTGAGAATAAAAGAAGAAAGAAAAATGACACCTTGACCTTGCTTTGTGAAATATTTATGTCTTGTAATAAATAAATTCATACTTTACTGTACTTCTCCTCAGAATCATCATCTTTCCCAAAAAAAAAAAAAAAAAAAAAAAAAAAAAAAACTTAAAAATTGAAGTACCTTGAAAAATTTTCCCTCTGCTCCTCCGTCGCAATCTTATCGATCACTTCTTGGCTGAGAGCAGCGCCGCACGACCGGTCAGGGCACCTGATCGTCAAGAAACCTCCGGCGGGGTTACTGAATTGTGTTCCGATGTGAGTAGCCAAGCAATTGCCGCAGAAGGAGTGAGCACAATTAGCCCACATAATCCCATCGAGAGAAAGACGTTGAGAACAGATCCCACAAGCAGAATCGCCAGCTCCAGCGGGGAATTGAACCGGCGGGTTCTCTGACAATCCAACTCTTTTACGGGTTTTAATTGTGTCCAAGAACCACGCTTCAGTAACCGCAGTAAAACTCCACTTGTAGTGACGGAGCAAGATACCCGCCTCGTCTTTGGAAACAGAGAGAACCGTCGAAAGCCCGGTGATGACATCCTCCATCCGTTGGCGTATATCTGCTTCACTCAGGACGTTGTAGTTGGAATTTTCGGGCCTCAATTCATCAATAGAACTGGGAATTCCATCGTTGACGACGACCACCACTTCAGCATCAGCATCAGCATCCTCTTCATCGCTGGGGTTGGAAACATCTTGGTCGTACAAGGACTCCATGATTTAGGGACAAAGCAAGAGCCTAGCAGAGAAGAAAAAACAGAAACCCAGAAGGAAAAAGGAAGAGGGAGAGACTCGTAGCGTGCGGGACGGTGAATGGGAAAATACAGGGAAAATATGCTCCCAAATTCCCAGTAGAGACAAGTCCAGACTTTGAAAAGAAAAGTCCTTTCTACAGCGAAAAAAAAAAAAAAAAGGGAAGAAATGTCCTTCAAAGGGAAGGAACCTACAGGTTAGGTATACCGTATATATATTTAAATGTTAAATGTGAATTTTAATCCATTAACTTTATCAATTTTATCTTTTAATTATTTTAAATAGTTTTTTATCTCTTAATTCTAAGATGTGAATTTTTTTTATTAATTAATTCATTAAATCTGTTTATATATATTTTAGTTTTTAAATTTTGAATTAAAAATGTATATGTATTATAAATTTAAAAATTACCAATAACTTATCACTCTGAGGAGAAAAAATTCAATTTTCTTAGAGAAAGTTTCAAGTTTGAATCTTATAAAAAAAGAAATATGTGTCAATGGGATTCGATAGGATTTGATTCCAGATTAATTAGGATTCAATATAATTATCAGATATCGATAAGTTAATAAATATATATATATATGCATTTAAATAAATTTAATAGACTAGTTAATAGAAGCACAGAAAAATATATTTTTTAAAATTAAGGAATCAAAATTAACATTCAACCCCATCTAAATAGGTTTTCCCATATTTTTAATTTTTTTAATGTTAATTAATATTTAAAATATAAAAATTGATATTAATTTTACTGTCAATGTTATATGAATGATGTTAATTAAACAATTGATTAGATAAAAGTCAACTCTTTTTTTTTTCAATTACTTATTAATGTAAAAAATATACCCCCATCATTTATTTTTATTAGTTATAATTTAATTTTTTAATTTTTTAAATATAAATTTTAGATAAAATTTTAACAACTTATATACACAATAATTAAATTTTTTTCTATATATAGTGCTTATTAAGTATTTTTTTTTTAAAGTTCTTGTTAAGTATTTTAATTTGATTAAAAAAATTAATTATTATTTATATAATAGGTTAAGTTTTTATATAAAATTTATATTTAAAAAATAAAAAAATTAATAAAAATTACTAAAAATAAATAATTACATGTTTTAACCTGTACCTTTACATTACAAACTAGAAATATCAAATCTAAATTAATTAAAAATTGAACGCTTCCCATATCTTATAATACACATTTTATTGGTTTTTATCAAGAAAAATTTGCGGTGTGTGGTTGTAGACACACAAATAATCACGAGTTTATTTGGTTTAATTAATATTTTATTAATTTATAATTTTTTTCAAAAATTTTAGCTATAATGTCTAAAAAAATTAATTTATTAATCAATTTGTAATAGTTAAACTAAACAAAACTTGTATTTTTAAGACAATATTAACAAATTTGTTAGGCAATAACCATTTAAAAAAATGTAGTAACATATGTGAAGTTGAACGTCAGTTTTTCTTTTGGTATTTACACTCTCAAAGCGTTAATTTTTACGCATTTTAAAATTAATTTTTCTTCAAATAATCTTAAAATCATACCTTTAATATCAATATGATACAATTAAAAAAATTAAATTTGTTAAGTGCTAACTTTAAAATTAAAATTTTAAATCTAACTTATAATAGCACATTTACTTAATGCAAATTTTTACCAATCTTTTAGGAAAATCAGTGGGAATCTTCCCTGAAACAAAAATACGAGTATAATATATATATACAAGGAGAGATATCTTTATGTATAAGTTACATATATTATATTTATATAAAATTTTAATTATTAAAAATAAAAAATAAATAATTAATATTTTATATAAATGTAATGTGTAAAATTTATAAATTGATTCTTTCTATATATATTAAATTAATATATATCAATTTTAACTCTAAAAAATATTAAAATCCCAACTCTAAAACTATGCTGTTTCATTTAATAATTAAATTTCATCCCATAATTTTAAGCCTCATTCCTTACCGATAGCAACAGTGACAACCCCCTTCCACGACTCAACAATTCAGCTCTTTTGCAAACCCTCATCCTCAACAATTCTCTCTTCCTACAGCAACTGGGGAACAAGATCACTATTTTCGGACAACTCTTAAGTACAAAGCACTGATATATTTTGCATGATAGTGGAGAATCAGCATTTATCTTTCTTAATCCCATCCTTAGAGCCGTCGACAAGGAGATGAGTACTTGCAAAGGTTCAAAATAGTAGGAATAGGATTTTAATTAAATAAAATGACATAATTTAAATATTAAAGCTCCAATATTTTTTGAGAATTGAGATTTATATATATTTTTCTCATATATACATATATATATTAGTATCTATCCTCCTTATTTTTTTAAGATTAGAAGGAAAATTACTTTAAAATTATTTACTTCAATAAAACACAATGAAAATAGATAAAAAAATACTTTAATTCATACTTTAAAAAATAAAACATTTTAGTTTTCTTTTAAATGAGAGTTTATTAAAATAATGTTGTTTTAAAATAAATTTTCTTTTAATCTTTAAGAAATAAGATGAAGAAATATTATTCCATTATATATATAATGTTTGGTGTATATGTATTTTACATTTGGTGATGTGTTATAAGTTAGGAGATAACATTTTTTCTTCCATAATGTTCTCAATTATTTGAGGATTTGAATTTCAAATATAAAACCTGGAGGGGCTGTGTTATGGTCACACACAACTTTATTAACATTATATATTTTAATTGTTATTTATTAGTTTATATATTTTTTAAATAATTAATTATGATATTTAAAAATATTTATTTATATATCAATTTTAATATATTAAATAACAAATATTAATTATTTTATCAATTATAAGATATTCTTAATAACTCATTGAAAATAAAAATTTAATAATTTATATAACCCTAACAAGTTTAAATGTGAGGATAACCATAAAGAACATAGATGTTTAAAATTTTTTAACTTTTAAAGCAACTGGATAGAACATTTTTAAGAAATGACAGTAACAATAGCATTCTTTTGAAGGCAAGCTGCAGCCTGGAAAAATAATAATGGTGTCATTAAGAAGTAGTTCAACTATTACAAGTTTATTAAAGGCGGTCATTGACAGTTTATTGATAAAATCCTTTTTATTAATCTCTAAATGCAACGAGAGTATTATGTTTTGTGATTTAAATTATAATTAAATTATAAAATATTTGTTATTAGATAAAATAAACTATTAATACTAAAAATTTATTCTTATTAAATAATAAGTATTATATAATTTAATATAATTTAAACTATTCAATACTTTTTTTTCATTTACTAATGAATCATTAGAATATTTTTCTTTTCCCGACTTTTTAAAGCTCTTTAGCCAACTGAAACAAGCATTACAAGTACTAAAATTTTTATTAAAGTTGGACCCATCCAATTATCCTATTGTGCAGTTCGAGACTGCAAACAATTTTTCCTCTTTATTTTTATGATAAAAAATAAAGTAATAGAAGATACTTTGATGGGATATGCAATTAATTTTTTTTATTAATCTCTTTAATATTTAAAAATTATATTAAACTTAATTAATTTAGATCAAGACTTTATTTACAAAAAAATCAACCTCCTTTCACTTTGGTGATATGCAATTAATTGATAAAAGAATATAAAATGAATAATTAATCAAGCCAATAATGAGAACATATTCCATACTTCTAGATTAAGTTTAAGATTGTCCACTCACCACTACTTTAAAGAGGGACACGTTCACCCTGCACACAAGTCATACTAAATTATTTATATGTTAAAAAGATGAATAAAAGAGAAAGTTAAAGTTAAAAAGAGACAAAAACAAAAAGGTCTAGCTCCATTTTCCTCTCTTTTATCTTTGCTTGGCCACCATCTTATCTTTTCAGCAACACAAATCTCTATACTTCAACCATTCTATTTTCTAATTCACAATAATAGACAAGAGTTCTGAAAATAATATAATTGCATTCCAGAATCTCAAACTTATGAGAGATAATAATAGGAAAAATTAGAACAGCAAAATGCAGAGTGCAGGCAGCAGGAGAATTTTTCATAAATGGAAAACAAGCATTTTAACCATAAGACAAACTTAATTCAATTAACCAGTTTCATAAATAAATCAAGTAGTTCTTGAATATAAGAGCAACAAGTTTAAAGGGCATAGTTTGAAACCATATCAGCCATCCAATCGCTGGCCCTGGTCCATGGGACGGGAACACATCTCGCAAACTGTTGCAGTTCTTGGATTGGAGGCGTATGTGCAATTATCACAAGACCAAGGACCTGTTCCACAGACCTGGCACACTTGGGCGTGGCTTTCATTGATGTAGGTACACCTCCTACAACTCCACAGGTCCGTCCCAAAGATTAGACCATCAATTCTTTGACCTTCAATTCTTTCATTCACCTGCTCCTCAATTTTGGCTTTCTTTCTTGGGCGTTTGGATTCAAAAAAGGTGTCACTGTTGGAGGGAAGAGAAGGTGAAGGTGTGGAACTGGAATGTACATCCGAGAGGCCATTCTCCAAAGCAGTAACCATTTTCTCAAAGTAATTTTTGGTCACCGATGTTAACCCGGAAAGCTTATGTTGGAAGCTTAAGAATTCAGTAGAGAGTCCTTCGGTGGATAAGAAGGGCTCCAGCTCCCTCTCAGCACAGTAATGTAGCCTTTCCAATTCGGATTCAGCCTGACCTTGCAGGTGTTCAAACAACCTCCTCTTTGTTTTCTCTTCCTCTGGTAAGTAATACCCATATGCATATGTCCATTTTAAGATTCTCCTGCACTCAACAATCTGCTTCCATGCGTCAGTCAAGAAGTTGAGGCTTATCTCCGTCCTGCACTGAACATCAGCGAGCTTCTCAAGCTGCGATTCTTGTACCTTCTTCAAATCGTCCAGAGCTTGCTTCATCGATTTTTCATTATTAGCCCACCTTTCGAAGTAGTGAGTGTATCTCTCTAAATATTCCTTGGCCATTTCCCTCTTCCTATCCTCATCTTGTTTGGCATACCTATTGCACATATGATTTTTCCAGTCTCCAAGGCATATCCAGCAAAATTCATGGCCACAGGGTTGCCTGCAAGTCATGTGATTACACCCTTGATTTTTCTCAATTGGCCTTCTGCACTTGGGGCAAGGCTTGGTAAAAGCCAACACGTAAGTCATATTCTCCGATTCAGAACTGTTCTTCAGCATCCACTTCTGCACCGTCTTGCAATCAAGCGGCCGGTGAGCCTCCTCTGTACAATTCCAGCAGAAAAGATGAGAAAATTGACAAGAAACATCAAAATTCTCACCCTGGAGAAAGTTAATAGCACATTCACAACCCGGAGCAGGGCACCACTTGGTGTTTTCCTTGTTTCCTTCCACATAGGAATTAATCAGATACTGAGCATACTTTTCTCTTTCCCCATCTGTAGCTAAAGCGTCGATCATATCACGACCCACAGCCGCAGAACAACGAGATGGATGGGGACACTTAAGGATCAGACATCCAGGACCGTCGTTGATGGCGTTGCTAACATAAGAACGCCAGCAATCGGTGCAGTACGGATGGCCGCAAGAGGCGGTCACGATCCGCCGCTGAGGGTGCGATTCAAAACAGATACCACAATCGATGAGATCACCCGATTCAGATGAATTAATTACCGGTCTCTCGAACAATCCCACCTTTTCACGGATTCCTTCATCAGCAAACCAAGCATCGTTCACCCTGCTAACATTCCAATTATGGTGAATAAGTAAAGTACTTGCCTCTGTCTTCGACACCGAAAGGACGGCGCAAACCCTCTCGACATCGTCCTCCATACGGCGGCGTATATCCGGTTGCGTCAGAGTGATGTAGTCCCGCGGCTTACAGACGATGTCTTCTTCCTCGATGCCAGCATCGTGGTCGTGATATGCTTGATCATCATCTGAATCGCCGGTGAAGAAGTCTTCCCCATCAGTACAGTGATCTTCCTGATCATCGTCTGAATTGCCGGCGTAGAAGTCTTCCCCATCAGTGTCCATGACTGGACTCCAATGAAATCAAGAAAGAAGGATAAAATAGAAGTAATCGAGAGATAATTTTTTTAAGATCCGTAAATAATGACAAACCCTAGACGACGACGATTGAAATTGGGAGGGTTTAAATTTGATGGGAAGTTTTTTTTTTTTTTGGAAAATAGGCAATGGAATGAGAGGTTAAACCCCCAAAATACTGGAATTTCAGCTCCCTACGCTACGCTCCTGTCCTACGAGCAGGTTTGGAGTAATCTTCTTCAAAAAAAAAGTCACCTCGGTGTAACTCTAGCTTTCAGTCCTTTAAAAAAACATAAAAAAAAAAGGAGGCTGAAATCAGCTGTCTAAGAAGTCATGAGCTTTATTTAATTGGAAAATAAATTCGCACAAACAATAAGCTTTATATATACTCTTGAGTCTTGATTACTTTTTTTTTTTTTTTTGGGTGAAGAATAGGAATAATTCGTTTATGTTTCAGTATAAATTTCTTAATCAAACTAGGATTTTTTTTTTTTTGGTATTAACCTTTCAATATTTAGTAATCACATTAAATTTTGGTTAATTTAAAATCAAATCATGTTGAACCTCATTTAAAAAAAACTTTCTTAACATTTATTTTTTCATTAATAAAACTTAAATTTAAGATTTTATTTAAAAAAAAATCAAATTCTTTTTATTCGGAACATATCGTTGAATCGAACTAAGATTAATTATTGTTAGAAAAGTTCATAAAAAATAAAAATTGTTGTTGGTAAAATAGTGCATTAAATTTTCCAAGAAGAAGCGCTACTAGCTACATTGAGTGTGTGCACGTAGTCAAATTTACACTGCATTAGTCAAATTAAACCATACCCCACTTATTAGGAAAGCTAGAAAAATATCACAATATTCCACTACAACACGATCTCAGGCGACGGAAAGCTAGACATAGATGATAAGATTTTGAAACCACAATAGAATGTTTTGTTTTGTTGAAATTGCAATAGTTTAATCAATTAGTAACAAATATTATTTATAAAATTTAAAGTTAAAATATTAACATTTGTATTTAAAAATTTAATTTTTTAAATAAACAAAATTAAAAGGGAGTGTACTGTCTTCAAATTGTCCAAAAAAATATTAATTTTAAAGTGTACAAAAACTTATCAAAGAACACCATGCCATTCAAAATTATTTTTTTTTTATAAAAAAGATAAATGGAAAAGGAACAGTGTTTCCCTCTCTTAATCTGAAAGGAGTTGTATCATATTAGCAGAGGGGAAGAAAACCCCATAATAATAATAATAATAATTACAGCTGCCAAAAACACAGCTCTCCACTCAAAGGAAAGATAAAAATGTTACATTGGAAAAAATTTCTCTCTACATGGTAGCAAGAAGCTCTCTCATTTCTTCCACAGAGGTAATGTTTTCAGTGGGATAAATTTTCGCAACTAGTTGGGCAAAGCTATCATACTTCTCCAGAAATTCCCTCTGTCAAATTTAAAACATAAGTTATTAATCAGCATGGTATATCACAGAATTAGTGGACATCAAATTGAAATATTATCCATCTCTAGTTCTCTACTCCACCCCCATCGCCCCATAACTCACCACAATATTTTTCTCAACAATGTTATTGATAGAATTGAACTAAAGTGCTCTTTATTGGCTATTGTGTTAAATGCTTTGGTACAAACGGCAGAGCATTGGCTATTACATTTTTCATAGATTACTTGGCTTACCTTGCATTTCTCCCACAGAGAAGGTAGCAGTTCTTCAGATGTCAAGTTCTTCTGCAACTTCTTATACATTGCTGCGATGGACTTGTCTACCTGTACCACAGAAGTAGAGATATGATTCCAATGTTTGATCTACAGACACAAGTTCTGAAGTTTATTGACTGACTTACCGCTGATAAACTGGCTTTTAACATCTTCCGGAGATCCATTTTAGACAAACCAAGTTGGAAAGGTATCTGTAGCATGAAGAGATCAACTTAATAAGCCACAATATTCATCCGGTTAACAGTTAACCAACCAAAATCCATGAATCTGCACGGATGTACAATGGCATTAATGTTAGGCTCGTTAGTGGATTTCCTTACCCATTGTCAGCCTCATACGGTACTTAATAATGTAATTTCACTCACTGTTACAACCACAGCCTATAACCATTGAGTTAAAATGAAAAAAGAAGGTATCCATTTCACTACCATTCTCTTCTCCTTCCATTCTAGTCATCTAGTCATGTAGGGCCCATGTGAATTTGATGGAGTGCACGGCCCCAGAATGTTACGTGCTTCCCAACAAATATGGGGCATTGATTAACAAATTTCCATTAACACAATCGCCCAAACATGCCTAAGAAATGGGACGTGCTTGACGCTACAAGGACAATCCAGTTCCTATTGAGTTCATTTCCTTGAGAACTTTAGTTAAGGACCTCAAACTATTCTGGGAAGCTGTATGATGTCATTCTGTCCATAACACTATTTCTATGAATATGGTTAAGTAATATCACCAACTTACAAACCTCTTCTGGTGTTATTGTGTACATCAAATCCTCAATCCTTCGAGCAAACTGGAACAGTTTTTCAAATTGCTGCAAGAAAATCACAAATTAATGCATCATGACCTTGAAACCTTTGACAACATTTAACTCAGTAAATAATGTAGTGTGTGCTGCCAGAAAATCACAAATTAATGCATCATGACCTTGAAACCTTTAACAATATTTAACTCAGTAAATAATGTAGTGTGGACAGTGATACTAGAATAATTATCAGAGGATAAAAGAAAATACCATGTATATTATCATACTGATATGACGTGTGCAGGCTTGCTCATAAGCTTCACTAGCTTGGTGATAAAATTTGGCTAAAGTAGGCACAACATTAGCTAGATCATACAAGCTGCAAGCAACAGCTTCTGTTCAGCAGTTCAGCAGTGGACAAAGAGAAAAAGAAAGCTGTCTGACCATAATCAAGAGGAAGATGACTAAAAAACAACTAACAGACAAATTTGTAAAACCAAGAGCAAACCTATTCTGAAATGCTGCATAGTTCTCTAAAAGAAATATATCTGAATATTTTGGATCAGTTTGTGCAATTCTCTCCAGAGTCACAAACATAATGCTAACCTGTGAAACAACAGAGAACGTCAGTAACTAAATATATATAACAACTGAAGAAATTGATATGCCTTTAAACTTTGAAACATCTAGCATTTATCCATATGCATATTGAATTCCTTCTGTGGAGAACGTGAACATACTTTTTTTCTGCATCAGCTGTGCCTTTCAGTTACAGGTATGTGTTCTAGGCATCAAGAAAAACACAATTTGACTTTTGTTTTGTATGCTTTAACTATGAACCAGAGATTAAGAAAATGAAACACCTCAAACACTCTTGTCTTTGATTTGTGAGGGAACTTCTAGAATCTTTTGCATCCATGATGTTTATGTGGCATTATTCATATAATGCCAAGATAAGAGACGAGTTCAGCTTAATTTAAAAAGGAGTTTATAGTTGGCAAAGTGCAACGGCATTCAAAAGTTGGTAAGGTTCTTTCAAAAGGTTGAAAGGTTCTATTTGCTGCAAATGAAAATGATATCATTAACACTCAAACTACTTCACAAACCAGAAAAACAATATATCTTTGTCCAGCCTAGTGATGTTTGCTTAAAAATCCAGCACTCTGCACTTACAAATTTGGTGTATGCTTGGTCAATCAAATCCCTAGATTGTCCCTGGATATACTGCTCCATACGGGTTGCTAGAGTTGCAAACCTGTGCAGAACATATTTATACTTTGAAAGAAATTTAAATAGTCCACATCTGTAAACAAGCAAAGTATAAAGCATGGAACAAGGATATTTGTGCTAGCTATTCAGGAAAGTTTAAGGCATGCTGCTTTACCCAAAAAAAAAACAAAAAAATTGACACCATGTTGGCAATGAACACATGAAAGAGCAAAATCATTTCTAACAACTTTAATTATTGCAAGTATTATCTTTTGAAATAGCCCTCCAATTAATATTTCCAGTTGCCAAGCAGCCATGCAAAACCTTATCTAAGACGTCTATTCTCTCCTAAGAATCTAAGATAAAGAAATTAACTATAATAATTTAGAATAATCAGAAAGTGTGTCATAAATCAATCAACAAAAAGGAAAAAAAGAAAATACACCTTTTTTGTTTTTGATTGACCAGAAAATACACCTTTTAACAATCTAAAAGTAGTTCAGATAGCCCACTGTCAAGAAGAACCACAATCTTAGAAGTGTTTAATTGCCCAAGGTTCATGATGATTTCCCTGGGAAGATGGTTGTTGGCTAATCTAGAAAGGCAATAATTTTTCCCATTGCAACAAAGCTTGCAATTTTTTGCATAGTTGCTAATTGCTCAGAATGACAGACTGAAAAATTTAGATTTGGGCATGGTGAAAGCTAAAGGTGGGAAGACCAGTAATTCTGTGGAGCAAACTACCAATAAATCATTCTAAGATCCAGCTGCATGGCAAAGTAGAAGTTTTTTTCTTTTATAAAAACATGCATAAACAATTTAAATCCTAGATATAAAAAAAATGTGCTAAGGAGAGTTTTGACCATTTACACTACTCTCATTTATTTCTTTAACTAGTAAACATCATCACTACATTCTCAAATCACAATCTTTTGGTCATAATAGAAAACAACTTCATAGGAAAACATTTGAAGCATACACCTGAGAATCCACTTTACCTAGGGATGTAAGACACAACACCCATCTGCCGCACATTACGCTCATTTCTTTCAATTTGGTGACAAGCTTCATCAACAAACTGACATAATTCACAATTTAAATTGGTTAGAAACACACTCAACTGAAGGTAAAAGGCCTTAAATATTTTCAGTTTCAAAATAAAACATACACGGGTGAACTGCTGAGAAATTCTTGACTCGAGTTCACCTAGCAGCATACGCACAAAACCTGCTGCATCTGCCTTCTGACCAGAGAGATAGCGTTCTGTAATTCCATGCATTGATATGCATCGCAAAGGATCAATCTTGTATGCCCAATCCACCACGGCATAAAAGTCATCCTAAAATTCATAAAATAAAAAAATAAGTTCAGATTCCAAGAAAATTCTAGTCCCAGAAAACTCAAAGGAACATACTTGGATTCCATCCAGCAATTCCTGAAGAGCTTCATTTAGTGCTACCAGATCCGCAGAATTTTTACCTACAAAGTCATAGTTTTGCATATATTTCAGGGTGACATATAAGAGAACACAGACTTCATCTCATATATTATGAGTAAACAATAAAGTAGCATTAGTAAAATGATTACTAGATTTGCTGTCATTGTCATCAATGTCCATGATGCCCAAATCATCATCACTACCATTATCATTGTAGGATCCACTTTTATTACCATTAGTGCCACCTCCTGGGGGAACAAGTGCTGGAACCTCAAAGCACATGAAATGTGAAAAGAAGGAACTCTGCAGTTTGAGAAATGAAAGAATTAACTTCCAATATAATTCAGATTTCATAACACATGAATCAGAAAGAACTATAACCTCATCAACAAGGAGTGGGATAAAAATCGTCAGCATTTTGCTATATGCCTCAGAAACTGCAGAAGTATCTGCACTATTTCCACTTTGACTCGAACCTGTGGAAGCTTCAAGCCAGGCACTTGGATTTCTTGACGCCTTTGTACCAGCACGAAGTTCATTTGCAAATTCACGAGCCTGGATATGAATGAGAAAACTTTTAAAACATACACCAAAACACTGTTAACCACTTGAATCTCAAAATTTGCATGTTTACCATAATTTTAATTTCCTAACAAATGATGGTTTAGTAATTATTTTCTGGAGAGATACAGAAAAAAGAAAGAATAGATTTTTTATATATTTTCCTTTTTTTCATTGGGGGTGAGGAGGGAGATACTCCTGGATCCAAATATAAACATGCAGCAAAACATAGTGATCAAATTGCCTCTAGATTGCTATTTGCTCCCTGACCTCTCGGCGCAGAAGTAAATTAAGGGAGCTACAATAAGCTTTCCTCAGAGGACCCAAACAATTCTTATCAAGACTCTGGAAATCGAAAGGAACACAAGTGTTAGAAAAGATCTGGAGACATGCATAATCATTAAGAGCAATTAATTACAAACTTGACCTTTAAATGTTGGAGAAGGCGAGCATATGTCCTGCATTTATACCGCAAGTCAGCATGATCAGGCCTTTTTAACTGTCCCCGCTGTTTAAAGAAAGCAGGTTAGCAACTTCAGCAATCCCAATTGCATATTTTTTATACCTATTACTTAATTGGATACTAAATGAAGCTACAATAGTACCTGCGAGAAGTAGCTTTTGTCACTGATCATAAAATCCACCAAACTAGTAAAGTAGCTTCTCAAGAACTCTGAAGCTCTCCTGACAAATGTAGCTTTTAATTTTTCAAGTTCTGCACGTTTCTCTTTAACCTGGAATAAAGGCATAAAAAATAGAAATATTTTAATTCACAATAGCTAAGGCCTCAAAATCCAGATCTAACTATGACACTAGTCCATTACACAAAGCATGGAGAAAGATTCCAACAAAATCAAATCTGGGTTACTATTCTAGTATTATTACAAAAGGCCATCTAGAAAGCTGCCAAGTGCCACACAATTTAATCAACAATCTTCCCCCACAAAAAACTTACAGACAAAATGAATAAAAAGATAGAGGCAGAGTCCATACAGCTCGCATGTTTGCATAAGTAGGATCCAAGTCAGGTACTTCAAGGCCACGTAAAGCACCAGTTAACCACTCACATGCTTCAGTATTTTGAAGCATACGAGCCTCATCAAATGATCCCCCTGTCAGAGATGCTGCATACTATGACCAGTAAAATATTGTTAGGTCAGAATTACTTTTAACTCCTTGCATAAACCCAATAACGGTGGTAGAAAAAATACCTCAGAAGGGACTCGCATTCGTTCAAGAAGCTTATCAAGTTCTTCAATAAGTGCTTTATTATTTACTGATTGCATCTCCAGTTTGTTATTGCGAGTTTCTATCTGTGTCATTACAAAGCAAGTCAACAAAAGGAACAACAGAGTAACACAATCAATTTTAAAAAATTGAAAAAACTTCAATCCATTCAGTTTGAGAATAAATTGGTAGTCAACTTTGAGGACAGAAGAATACCATTAATTACCAAAACTGTTAGACAAGACAACAAAAACATCCTACACAATGAGAATTTGCATCTAAAGGTCCTACCGACTCAATATCTTCTCTCATGTGTCGTAATTTAACATTGAAGATGCCTAACCATTCATCCATGTCTTCAACACAGCTTGTGGCTGCATCAAGTCCTTGCAGTACCTGTGAGAACAAGGATGTAGAATCAAGAATAAACAATTAATTTTACAGGCAAGAAATATAATCATTGATAATGAAAAGTCATTTCTGCCCATCATTATGAGCTAAAACTAGTTCTTCTATATGAAGCCAAGGATTCCTAAAAAGGAGGGATGGCCAACAATAGCCATAACAGTATTGTCATAAAAGCTTAGCAGGACAGAAGATAAAGAAAAGCTCCTTAGGCACAAGAAAAAATCCATATTAGCACCATTTCAGAGTATGACAATCCATTAAGGACCACTAAATGGAAAATAGAAAGAAATCTCTCCTTTATTGCCTTAAATAGAAGAAAAACAAGATAGAGAATTTTAAAAAATTGAGTACATTGAAGTGCAGGAGATAGCATGGAATAGATAGGCCTGAATCAAACACATAATGGCAGAAAACGACAGGAGTGAGAGGACTTAAATGATGGTAAACCATGGGATGGACAAACAAAGGAGCCTCTTCCTTAAACTACCTGAAAAGAGGAATAGATAACCAAAGCAAAAGCACAGCTATAAAGTAAAAGGAAGTACCTCATCTATCAGAGGTTCACTTTCCAAAATGGCATGCACATTTGCTGCTTCTAGGGCAAGAAGCTCTCTCTTCAACCTTTCTGAAAATGCCTCCGCCTCACTAATACCCATGACGTAACTGCAGATCATGTGCTTAAAATTATCAAAATTACAAAAAAAGGTGGTACAGGAAAAAAAATGATTAAAAGAAATGATGCAGGATGAAGCATTATATTGATTTTGTTTTGTTTTTGCAATAAAGTAGGTAACATAAATGGGAATTGGGATTCATAAAGAACATATCAACCAACCCAGGTTGCTCAAAACATCGACAATTTTGATGGCAAAATGACATATACTACTGTCAGGTCAAACAGCATTCATTTTTTGAATAATAAATATCTCTCTAGTCTAACCAACTCTGGTGTTTCACAGAAGACATAACCCAAAAAAGCATTTACTGAAAAAAGTGATGAGGAAAATGTAATATTTAAATTGGCATCAGTGAAGTAAGATGTAAGAACCTTCCCCCACAACAAAAAACCATTGATCAGCAATAATGTACATCATAAATCAAATACAAGTTTCAAGCTCAATCCTCTATGTTTTTCAAGGAATTGGAGGCAAGTATGCTTTATGCCTTTTATCTCCATTTTTTATTCACATTGCATTTCATAGTAGCAGCTGAATCTGTCCTGTTAACCAAGAGTAAAGCATGTCTGAAGGTAACCAAAGAACCTCAGAACAGAGTAACAGAAATACATACGTGCCCAAAAGAGCCTCCATGTCCTCTTCCTCAGCTTGAGAGACAAGTTCCTTTTCAACACTGACTTTCAGGTCACTTCCTATTACTGCAGCTGCAACATGCACAGGACCATCCTGCACAGTCCTTCGAGTGGTAACAGTGGGTGTATTTTCCTAGATCCAAGATGAAAGTAAAATGCATGAAGGAGAATATAGCATCTTACTAAGTTATGATAACTGAAATTTTAAGGAGATCAAAAGAAATATCACTCTAAGACCTCAGTCCACAGAAGGAAAGGGAATATTACTGCAGACCATACACAAATAATTTTTAACAAATAATCATTCTACAAGTCAAACACAATGGGTAAACACAATCAGATAGAGAGAACCTAAGCATGTTGACGATGCTACTAAAAATAAATCTCAGAGAGAATTCATGTATGATTCTCAGATTAGAAGGACATCTCCCACTAACAGACATTCACATGATCTTTTGCCACACAATGGGCTATGGGCTGACAGGCCAAATATGTACTCATTGCTTACCCAAACAGATCAAGAGAGAAAAAGGCTGAAGAAAATTAGCAACAAGCAAATCTAAGGATCATATACAGAGTGCAGAAACAGGATTATCTAAAAGAAATCAAATATTAAATGCAAATATTGGAATTTTCTCTTGGAAGTTCAGAATGTAACTTAATCAATGCAAACACCAACTGTACTCGAAACTTTCCTCGCTTTATCTCATGCTTAAAATTTACTAACTCCAGACACATTTTATAGAATTCAAAACATGTCAGATATTCAGGAAGCAATAAAATGATCATACACACCTTAGCCCATAGAGCCATCTCCACAACATCTATACCAACAACTTTGGGAAGACGACCAAGTAAATCTTTGCACATATTTAAGATGCAAAGTAAAAAGCGGTTCCTACAAAAAATGGGGGAAAAAAAGAGAGAAGAAAGAAAAATATTATAAGCAAAGAGAAAAAGAAAAAAGAAAAGATCAAATTTAATAAATTATTGGTACCAAAACATTAACAGAGAGAAAATTATCTTCAGTTTTCTTCCTTTTGTCCCTGCTGCCAATTTTTGGGAAAAGGTCCCATGTGTTGGTAGGATATGGAGTTTGAATTCCAGACAAACTAAAGTCACATCTCTAGTTCTTAAGCATTTCCATATAGATAATAAAAGAAAAAAGAGA